TCATCCCGTTTCTGTCTCCTCTGGTGGTACCTGCCGGGCCTCCAGCTCCTCCTCTCTCTTCCAGTGTCAAAACCCCAGTATTCCTGACTGCGTTCTTCTTCTGGCTCCTCTTTGGCTTCTTCTGACAGCTCTTCATCTCGTTTCTGTCTCCTCTGGTGGTACCTGCCAGGTCTCCAGTTCCTCTTATCTCTTCCGGCATCAAAATCCCAGTACTCCTGGCTACGTTCTCCATCTTCCTCGCCCTCCGATGGTTCGTCGCTGCGTTTGTGGAGTGTTTTCTTGTGATGATAGCGATGTGTGGGTTTCCAAATGCGTTTGTATCTCTCCTCCTCATTCTCATCCCCGTGCCTTTTGTCTGCTTCCCAGCGCTCTTGGCTACGTTCCTCCTCTACCTCGTTTTCTCCTAGAGGTTCCTCATCTCGTTTGTGTTTTCTTTGGTGGTATCTTCCAGGCCTCCAGTTCCTCTTCTCTCTGTCTTCATCTTCCTCTTCCTCATCGTCTGACCTCTTTTCATCTACTCCCCAACTCTCTTGGCTGCGCTCGCCATCCTCTTCTTCCTCTCCTCGTTTGTGCTTTCTTTGGTGGAATCTTCCAGGCCTCCAGCTGCTCCTCTTCTCCCGTTCTTCTTCCACATCGTTCTCATGTCTCTTGTCCTTCTCATCACCCAGACTCCAGGATTCTTGGCTGCGCTCATCTTCTGGGTTTTCTCTTTTTTCTTCCACAGACTTCAGGAGTTCCTCGATGTCTTTCACATCTGCTGTCTTTGCCACTGGCTCTGCGTGAACTTTAACTATCTCTTCATGAGTTACTGAGGCATCCCCACTCTTCTTGTCCAACGGGGCATGTATAATACCTGTGACAGAGCAAAAGAAATATTATAAACAATCCACAAAGAGCTACACAGGTGCAAGTTATGATGGATTTGTGGTGGAATTTTAACCTTTAGATCAAAAGATGATGTGAGAAAATCAGCACTACTTTTTTTTAGAGAAGTCATGTGAAAACTATGATCATTTTTAATGTAATGCTGCCTGATTTTATACCTGCTCAAAGCTTTGAGCTTCTCACTTGCGCTCTGAGTGCTGTTTTACTCGTCTGAAGGTTAAAAAAATTACTAATAATAACAATCCTGGAATTATCCAACCGATCATTTGTGCTACAGACCTGCTTGGATGATGTCTTTGCATTGCTGATCGACCTGAGAGTCCGGTTTGGAGAGAGCTTTGGACAGAACTTCAACCAAACATCGTGTTACCTGGAAAATTCAAATGAGCTAAATAACAATATAGATCTTTGCACAGAAAATGCTTTGATTAAAAAGCAACGAAACGAAAAACATACCACATCCTCTCTCTGCTCTTCTTTACCAACTGGAAGCGTAAGATTTCCTGCATTGGAATAATTAAAAAAAATATATCTGTGTTAAACATGTAGGTCGATAAGCGAATAGTTTGCTTGTAGCGAATCTGAGGAATCGATGGCGTCTCTGTCCATGGTCCTGAAGAAACTTATTGCACAGCACTCAACAAAAAAGGGGGTGAAAAAAACAGAATGAAAAGAAAGGCATAACTCTTTCACCTACCTGTCAACAGAGCCGTAACCGCCAGCACGACTGGAACAAGTCTCATCGTGACGAGCTGACGGGTAAATCCGGGAAAACGTGACAAAGCTGGAGCTCTCGTCCCTCCGCGGCGGCAGGAGAGAGCTGCGCTGACTGTGCGCCTGCTGCTCTGAGTGTTGCAGCAGAGGAGCGCCTTAAATAAAGAGAGGAGTGGGCTGGAGGTGCGTGGGAGGAACAACCTTAGGCTCAGTTAATGTCATGACTCATTAGACCTGCAAAGAGAGCGACTTGATGGGAATGTCACGCGCGCAATTTCGGCATTTTGTGGGAAGCCAAATTATAATCAGGTTATTGTCGCGGTGCGTTCAGGTGACACGTTGGGTTAAAGAGGCGCTGGCATTAAGAGTTCATGCGGCGTGTTTGTCCTGCTGGTACGGCGGGTGGACACGACACGACCCCGAAGATGTCATGCAACGTGATACCTTACAAGACTACTTTGAAAGTGTCGTTTTCGATGTTCCCAGAGAAGTTTCTGTTTGCTGCTGGTGCTTGTGTCCTCCTTAGAAAAATAGTTATGTTTATTGCAGGTTATGCCTGGTGGCTAATTCTCTTAAAATATCAGTTGTCTCTGGGGTTTCCGGTTGTAGTTATATAATGCCTCCCTTATATTTGCCCAAACGGCTTGGATGTGCGCGCTAAAAAAGTCAGAACTGTACCCAAATTTCCCCAGTGATTCATCCACCTTTGAGCGAGCACCATCCACTTTCCCTTGGGAGCCAGTGGGCTTCAGCACTAGCAGAGGAAAACTAATGGAGATCTGCATCATTAGTTGTTGTGGTTAATCCTGCCTGGTGCGCATATAAGAAGAAAACAAAAGAAAAAATGACTGCGTAGAGGTGTTTTTATTGTTACTGATATTGTTATTGTTGATTTGCCTGCCTTTTTTCCATTGTGCAGTGATCTTTCTGGTGCAGTGTGGGCCTGATCAGGTGTGTAATCCCGCTGTCATAGAGAAACACGAACATTTACCCGCTGCAATGTACAAAGTACAATTGTGGGTGTGTGTAAGTGTAGAGATTCTCTTTCCATTCCCAACTTTGTGGGAAACTAGGCTGTCAGTGCCAGGATCTGTGAGTGCTGCTGTCTTTATGACAAACGCTGGATTGGAATGAGATGACACATGCACAGCGACAGAGCTCAGACGTAGTAAGCCGGCCTCAGCATGGCTAAGGACATTAAAACTGACAAGTGCTGGCATCTTCTTTTTGGCACTTTGCATCATTTTCACTTCCCTGTACAGCAGTTTGTTCTCTCTTTGTCTACAGTGCAATCAGACGCAGGGAAAAAAGGGAAAAAACAACAACAAATCAAATTAAAAAGTGAACTGAGAATTTTGACAATATAAAATGCTTAAAACTTAAAGTGGTTCCATCTCGGATGTTTTTAGATAAGTATTTTTTTACGTACGATGCGAAGCACTGACCTTTAAATGCCACAAAATACATTCAAATTCAATCATGTCTTGGAAAGCGTAAGTCCAGAAACTGCAACCGCTGCAAGCAAAATGAGAATATCGCTTACCACAAATCTGACCTCTTGTCTGTGCTTGTCATCCCTACATGACTGGTTATTGACATCTCTATTTGTTACTGCACAGAGCCTCCTTTGGGGCGACTGAATTAATTACTGTTCAGAACATAAAACTGTAATGCCAGATGGTGTATTGCACACACAAGCAATACACACTGATTCTGTGGCGTGAAGTATAGAAGGACCATTTTCAAGCTTTGTGTTCAGTGAACAGCAGTAGGGTAGAAGAGCTCTGCAGTTTCCTCTATTGTCTCTGGGGAGGAAGTTATGTCTGAGGCTCACTATTCCACAGTGAGCCATGCAGTCAGTAGATATCAAAAGCACTGAGCCACTGAATTATACAAGTCATGTGGCCTGAACAATGTGTGTGTGTGTGCCCGTAAATGTGTGCTCATTCACACGTGGTTCTGTATATGTGATTTTTGTGGCTTTGCCGCTTTTGCTCCAGGCACGATTAATATTTCAGTGAGCCACGAAGATATACTGTAGGAGCTTACAGGGGATTTCAGAGGCGAAGCCAGAGTGCTCTGCTGGTCTCTCAGAGCACGACTCAGATTGGCTCGTCTGCAGCAACACCACCTCTTTCATCATCTCCATTTACATGAATGAACAAAAGGCAAAGTGGCTCATGATGAACACAATGCAGTGGGTTGCATGAAAGCCTCGACCGCGCTTTGATCTTTGGTGGGGACAAGCTTTGTGTTTGGCTCAAACCTCCTGTGTGACTTTGATGATAGTCCAAGAACAATAGGGGAGTCTGTGTACAGTCACTTTTGGTCAAATACACGCGCTTTTGTTAATATTCTATGGTCAATGCACCATTGTTTTCTGATATTTTGTTGTGAAGGAGTAGCTTCTTATTAGTATATAGGCACAGTCTGATGTACTAAAGACTAAAGGTTCTCACTAATTAGCATCCATCCATTTTTAACATCTATCACAGCACAATATACCATAAATAGTTTCTCTTTGTTTAAAAGGAATATATCTTGTCTGCTGCTGTATGAGGCCCCGAAGCATTTTAGAGGACTCTGGAAATTGTGTGTTTTGTTTTGTTTATTCAGTAATTACAGCATTGTGTGGGTGGGGATTATTAAGATTGACTGTTGTACTGACAGAAGATGGCGCTCAAAATGTTTTTAAAGCTTTAAGCACTTATTTCTTAAATCCAGCTTCACAGACAGTTTTACGTCTATGTCCATTTCTGAGAGCAGGGCTCAGTGGCGTAAATTAGCCTTTATACATGTAGCGTTTAATGTCACCTTTCATGCCTCTCTCAAGGTGAACTGTAAAAACTTTGGTAATGCCTGATGCAAAATTTGTAGATTTGTAGTAGGTTCTGGTTCCAAATCCCAGGCAAGCCCCCAAATTATGTTAGAGCACCTAAATCAATTGTTTAAAAGAACTGTAAGCATTTTAAATGCAAGTTAATTTTTTTTTAAGTCTCACAATACTAAACCTCTCTCCCAAATTCTTATTTATCAAAACACACTGACAAAACAAACTACCTAAACCAAGAGTGAAAAAAGGCCTTGAATCAACCAGAAAAGTGGGTCATTGTGTTTTCTACTAAGCTAATATTAATCAACCAAACTGGTGAAACAAAAACTAAAAGCAGTGTGTTTCTAACACTAAGCTTAATCAATTAATCATGAAGGAAAACTGTATTCTTCTATATTTTATGGGGGTTGGTGAAAGATGGAGAGCCCCTCCACCTCTTTTGACTTTATATGTGGCATCGCTCAAATGCCATTTCTTCAGCTATAACATTGTTTGTGCTAATTATCCTCATCACAGTTTAGGTTTCAGAGCAGGATCCACACTGTGATGGGAAAAAAAAGTCTGGACCACTTGTGGCTCCTGGTGTTTCTGTTGCTAGATATTCAACAAACAAGACCAAGCAGACCATTGAGTAAAGACGATAGAAACGAATAAGCTGTAAAGAATGAAAATAAAGCTCCAAATGACCCATGAAGGTGTCATTACAGAACAGCTTGGTTGTTTATGCACTCATCAGGCTGTGCCATATCTCATTTTATCCAGATCTGTAATGCTATTAGCGCCTTCATTGTGGCATCAGGGTGCTTTCTCAATACAGCACTCAATGGGCTCCAAAAGGCTTTTGCAAGGATAAAATGGCCTATAAAGAGGATTTAGCTCTGATTAATTGTTTAATTCAGGATCTAGATTATCCTAATTAGCAGCCATGCAGGTGAAGGCTTAATTTTATAATATAATATGATAATAGTTTACTGGATGTACCTCACATATTGTTCAGCTTCAGCAACATTTTCATAACAGAATTCAGCTCCTTAATTGAATATCACAGAGATAACCTGAGGCCAACAACAGAGAATAAATGGGGCTGAATGCCCCACTGAACCTGAAGGCACTCTTTCAGTGTTTGTCTGACTGTGAGCTGCAAACTTGTAGAACTGGGTACTGTAACTGAGGTCTTCTGACACCACCCGTGAGTCATTTTTTATTAATGCAGATGGTTTTAGGATTTTTTTATTTTATTTTAGTAAAGGTGAAGATTCTAATAAAGTCTTCAAAGAGAAAAGAATACCAAGTGCCACTTAAACGAGAATAAATATGAATAAAGTGAATGTGGGATTTTCAGGGTTTTCAAGAATAAAGGTCACTGAGCCTTTACACTACACGGTGAGGTCACTGTGTGTTTGCATTATAGCACTGTTATACATCCATATCATCATTTTGACTGCATAACCCACCTCCAGTGAAAACTTATTCATCCAAAATGCTTGTGCGTTTCCTGCTGAATAACATTAAGAGTACTTATTATGGTAGCACAGGACCGGCTCATTTTAATATGGTTACATAGCTGTTTGCCAAAATGTGCTAATGAAGTATAGTTATTGAGGAGACAGCATCATCGCTACACTCAGCTAAGAGAGCAAAATATCTCAAACTGTACAAGGAAGGCTTGAGCAGACTGTCAAGTTGGTTGCAAGAGCTAATGAAAGTTTTTTATGTGGACCCTGCTGCTGACAGCATGGCACTCAAGGCTGGCAGTAAAATAAAAAGAACTCTATTGAGAACTTATGGTGCTGCAGTTGTAGCAAGAAAAAGGCCAATAAACTAACCAAATCAAGCCAAGATCCAAGACCAGGAGGAAGATTAGTGACAACTTGACAGAGACTGAGGCTGTATACCTTATATATACTATGAACTCAAACAAGACAGGCAAGGATGAGGGAGAGAACAAAGGGGGGAAGTAAAAACATAAAATGATGACCTTCAAAGAATGGAACAAAACAAAACAATTATATATAGTTTTTCATGCAAAGGCCAGTTCAACTGAAAGAAAAGGATGGCATAAAAGAGTTTGATCTCTCTCTCGTTTTAATTACTGTGCAACAATGTTGAATATTTGTCCTTGATTCTTGTATTAATTTAATTTTAAATCATCTAGTGTTGTTTTTCTGCAGTCTCTAATAGAGACATGTATTTGGCGAGAGTGTTGAAAAGTAAACAATCCCAGTATATGTTTTTGTTCACTAAATTTTTCATTAATGTCACTGCTGATTAAGCATTCAGATGACTGCTATATTTCCTGAGGTCTTTCAGCTGATTTTTATTTTTATTTGAAATAAAAAACAACAGTAGTAACAACCCCTCTGCCACTTCCCCAGAAACTGCATAATCTAGTTTTAGCTTCTGTGAAATTTGTCAAAAACGCTTTAGCATCACTCTGCTCAGACAAT